ACACGGGCATAATTTGATCAGTACACACACTGACAATTGCATTGACAATTCTGTGTATATATTATATGCAATGAGCAATGTGTCACCACGATTGATCTCTTCGGCCCTTTCTTATCAACCTCATATTTTTCATTATTCTTTTATTCTAACTAGTTTAGTTTTATAGTATATAATTATGAAACAATAAAACTACAAATCAGCCGAGAATAACTGAGTAAGTTAACACGGAAGGTTTTGTTTGGGAACAATCTGTGTTGACTACAGATTTACAATCTGTTTAAGCACAACAATGTTTTACCTAACTTTACATGTGTCTCGCGTGATAATCAACAGCCATAATCTGGCCATAATGCTATCAATAATAATATTACACCGTAGATGTTTTTGTTTGCTCAACTGGGAATATAAAGCACTAACTTTATATTAATTTATGGAACACGTATCTTGGGTCGAACATTGTATTATTATTTCATCAGCTTCTAAATCACAAAGAATGCTTCATGTTAATTCATGCCAAAACAAACCAAATCATTTTCCAATACCAAAGGCACTAGTGGTCCTTAAAGTACTTTATTAGAAACTTAGTTGGTATGTACTATTTAGATAATTATAAGTTTCCAGAACCTAAGATTCTGAGAAGACCAGTCATAAATATAAATGACGACCTACAACAACCATAGTTGTAAATTCAGATTATAATATAAACTAAGGATCTTTCACTAAAATTTGTACAAAATTGAGCACCTTCGTGTTTGGTAGTCACACTACAATCAAATCCAACGTTTGTCCTTTGGAAGATTGAGAATGCTAATGAAGTTTTAAAAATCATGAAATGTAATCTTTATACCACCATTATATAATGGTCTTAAAGATATGTTGTTTCTTGATTCTTCTACAATTATACAACAAGAGAATTATTTTGTTTCATAATAAAAAATAGTTCGTCAAGATTACCCACTAATATCGGTGCAAATCGAAAGCGATCAACCATATAAAATAAATATAACTAGTTGCAATACCAGTTAATTTTTAAATTCAAGTTCTAAATAGAAATAAGAGCGCCAAGATCCAAATTCTTGCTAGTCGCCACAAAAAATGATTGAACAACTGGCTGCTACGAGTTTGAAAAAGCTATCTAACCTATTTATTTAATAGAAGGTTGGAAAAATCAATACTAGTATTTGGTTTCTAGTTATATATATTTATTCAGATTTAACCTTTTTAATTTGTACGTTGATATCACTGGATTCCGGTCAAACAAGGGTAGGGACCTTTTATATTTAAAAGATAAACCTAGAAAATCATTTAAGATTATAAGTTGAATCGTTGATTATGATTCATATTTTTAGATTTTGGAGGCATACAATTTTATGCATGGTTTATCTTAATTGTTTATTCTGCTGACCCAAATTTTAAGTTGTGGACAGAAACTTGATCGTCAATCAATAATGGCGTGTTCCACTTGTTTTGCCCAATGATTCTTGTGTTTAAGATTGTGTTATTAGCTGTTTCTTTGAGTGTCTGGAAGGCATTCTCGGTTCTCCTAATTAATAGGAAAGTATCAAGTTGCAGTTTGACAAGAAAATATAGGCTGGAGGATTTTGTGTACCAGTAGAGGACAATAAAGATTTATAAAATCTTTCTACTATTACATACTGAATATTTCAAACAATTTAACCAATCTTGATTATGGCAAATTGGCGAATCAAATCTTTGAACTTGCGTTGTATCTTGTAATTAATAAGCTGACTTCTCCTCCTGTTTTATTTGTGGCTCTCGTTTCTTTAACTTTTTTCTTAAAGGTTAGTTACTTTTCAGCTGTCTTGCTATTCAGGTTTCACAACTTACCTGGACAAGATAACATTCCTCGTAATATATTGTCCATCCCTTCAACTTCAAGTAATATGGATCATAAATGAGAATGGCTAATTTACTCTTGGAATAATATTTATCTGAGTTTTCAATGGAACGATTCAGTCCATTAATTAATAAGCATGAACTACACACCATCTTGAACTTAAAAACATAAATATTTTTTCAGGAAAAGGTAGCTGTAGCTGTGGGAATTATGCATGGTGTTAGAAGTAGTAAAATAATGTTAAAAAACAAAGTTGATTTTCAGCAGCAGGATTGAAGAAGTTGCAAAAGCTAGTTAATAAATACGGTGGTTGTTGAAAAACTGAAAGAAAGCTCCATTCAACCGTGTTGGATAAATATCTGGTTTTGGATTAATAGTCAAGTAAAAAAGATTCAACTTTAATTTGTAGTGACCTTTGCTTAAAGATTCTGTCCTCATTAACTAACCCTCAATTATGACTTGTTGTTTCATTTTCATTTCGCTTTCATGGAGAGTGAAAGGTGGAAACTGGGAAGAAAGGAAGGACGTTGATAAATGTTGATATGGTTGTTGCGTCCATTTTATATGCTTGGTGGTAATTGATTCAAATATATGGAAAATTAAACTTTTGAACTTCAAGCATTAATTACATTCTCATATACAATGTATCGCTGTTCATCTCCCTGAGTTACAAGGAAGTTCCAGGACAGATTGATCATTTATTAATTAATAACAATAACAATGCTATCTGTGTGACTTCATCATTGAATATCCCTGTATAAACCCGCTCCTGACACTCATCAAAACAACAGGCGCTCACACAGATATATATATGCAGATACAACCTTTTACATCTACTTCCTGGTTATGTATTTGATGATCTTATACACCATATGCTCCACTAAAATTTAGATACTGGTACAGTATCAAAGAAGACAAATCAATTGAAATTTTTTTTTTTTTTTTCCAACAATTCAAAAAAGATCCAAAATCAGGACTGCTCAAGTGCTCATTGCATGACAAGAAACCACAGCCACCAACAAGGCAACAATGGCAGAAGGCACATCAACGCTCTCTTTTACTTTTTCTATCTTTTACGATATTGGGCTAGGTTAGGCCCATGGTCTAGAGTTGGGTTTGCTTTTATAGTTTGATACTCTTTTATTGAGTGGGTGTTTAAGTCCTTATTAGTAAATACGGATATAGTAAAAAAAAGGTATGAGAATTTTATGAGTATTATACGATAAATAGTAAAAAATATGTTTGTGAAAATTCGATTATAAAATTCAGATACGAGAAAAATACGGTACGGGCATATATAAGTTTAATACGGTACATTGTCAATAATACATTTTGAAAAATATGGCAATATTAATTCTGATTTTAACACTTTTTATGATCGTTGAATTAATCCTCTTTTGTTTTTCCTTATAGATGTATGATTTATATTTTTTTTAATTATAATATTTCAGTTTATAAAAAATTGTATTATTTGATTTGTAATTAATTACTACAAATATTGTATAAGTGGACCAATTACTTAAAAAACAAACAATTTTATTTGTCATTAAGTTGAAGAAGAAGAGACAACGAAGAGTGGTACTTGTTGATGAATAGCTGAAGAAGAAGAGAGGAAGAGGGAGCCAAAAAAGAGAAAGAGAGAGCAAGAGGGCGCCAAAAAAGAGAAGTAGCCTAAAATAACATCGTTTTGACCAAACTTCACCTAAAAGGATATTGTTTTGGCTTATTAAATAAAAAAATTTTATTTTTAAAAATACGATCGAATTATATAAGAATTATATGCAAATTATATGACTGGAGCATATAATTTGCGTATAATTTGGCTGTGCTTATAAAATACGAGAATTTGCATTTTATATGCGAATTATATGTCCAACCGTATAATTCGCATATAAAATACGAATTTACTAACTAGGTCTAAGCACACACTTTTATATATGGGCTTGGCTACTTGGTGATTGGTGATAAATATTATTGGGTTTATTTAGCAATACTGTCTCTTATGGCCCAGCCTAACGCATTCCAGGCTGAGGAAGTGGCATCCTTCATCCTACTAAAGCCTTGGGCCTTGAATGACACTGTGAATGTTTGTTGACGACAAACTTGTTAATATTCAAGTTAAAATTTTAAAGGAAAATTGTAGCTTAATTTTTAATTCAAAGTATGATACCATTATTATTTTTTAATTTAGACCATTATACAATAATANTCTCTTATGGCCCAGCCTAACGCATTCCAGGCTGAGGAAGTGGCATCCTTCATCCTACTAAAGCCTTGGGCCTTGAATGACACTGTGAATGTTTGTTGACGACAAACTTGTTAATATTCAAGTTAAAATTTTAAAGGAAAATTGTAGCTTAATTTTTAATTCAAAGTATGATACCATTATTATTTTTTAATTTAGACCATTATACAATAATAATAATAATTATTGATATATGTCGGATCCAGACACATGGTAGGTGGGTTTCTAGAGATATTATCCATGCTTTGGACTAAGTGTCAACTGTTGATATATACTGGATCCAGACACATGACAACTTTGAGCCCTAAAATCTGCACGATTTAGTCTTGAAAATACGACTCTAAGAAATGAGAGTGTCTTTAGCATAAGTGACTAAAGCCTTTGTTAACCGTTGTGTGACTTTGACATTAATAATAATAATAATAATAATAATAATACAATTTGACCCTTCCAATATGATTCAACCGATAAATCATGAACATAAATTTTTTCAAAATAAACCTAACCATGAGTTGCTTTAAAATTCAATGAACCTGTCAGCTTAAATATTATGTTATAATATTCCTGTAATATCAGTTTATTATGACTTATTGTCGTTATTGATAATGATATTTAAATTTAAAATAATGCTAACAGTCACTATGTCCGTGTACGCCCAATTTTGACCATTCTCCAACGGGCTTGTATTCTAAGTTTCAAGAAGTCTGCAACTTTTAATGGCATTGGACCCAGTCAGCGATAAGCATTAAAATATTTGAGTTTTAAAAGACAACGCACGGGAACTGCCAACTGGGCCTTTCCGTTTTCCTTTTCAGTGTTTAAAAAGTTGGAAGTCAAATATAAAGCAAGGAGCCAAAATTAAAGACGCAAGTGAAGATGCCAAGTTTGCGTAAATGGGTGAGAAGGCTCGTGCAAGTACACAAGGACGGAAAATAAATTAGTAGCTTAAACTGTGGCATATGCCCAGGATATCAATGAAGCCAACAAACACGGAACTCTTCTCGATTTTCAAGGGACCGAATCTAAGAATCTTCCACTCTCACGTACATCATCAGGATATAAGCCATGACAATTTCACCATATACTTTTCCTAATTATTTTAATTCCTCTTCAGCCCTTCAAAACTTCAACCTTTCTTCTCCCTCTTCACTGCAACAAAAACAGAGCTTCTCTTGTTTTAAAATTACACCTTTCTCTCTTGTTCGTAACCGGGTTCCTGTTCTTTGTTTCTCATCTCTTCAAGGTACAATCTTTCTTATCCAAGAACGTTTTGTTTTATTTTATTTTATTGGATATTTGAATTGCTTGCTTGCTTAATATACATAAATACATTTAACAACCGACTCCCATCTTGTTTATTTCTGGCTATTTTGATGCGCTTGTGAGAGAATCATAAAATGTAATGGTTTTTCTTGGGCCAGATTTTGAAGTGTTGGTTGTTATATTTGCATTGATCTGAGTTCCGTGGCTTAGATGGGATCTAGTTCTTCATACGCTTGATGCTATTACTTTATTTCTGTTAGTTTGTAATCTTGAATTTCAATTACATTCGAGTGCAGACGATATGGATCCCGCCACCGGCACGAGTTTGTACCCATCTCACCGATGCAAAACTATTCACCTGGTTCGTGCCAAGATTTTTTTTTTTTTTTTTCTTTAAGTATTGTAGAAATTTTCAATTTGAGAAGACTTGTGGTATTGTAAATTTTTGCATGTAGGTGAGGCATGCTCAGGGTATTCACAATGTAGCCGGGGAAAAGAGCCATGATGCTTACATGTCTTATGATTATTTTGATGCATACCTTACCCCACTCGGCTGGCAGCAGGTAATCACCACTTAAATTTTGTTTCATTATCAATTTAGCTATTCTGATCTTGTCAAATGTTTTTCATCTAATAAAAACTATAAAGGTTTTCAAGATGATGTTCTGTTAGGACCTTGAAAATTCTGCGTTTGTTTTGTTTCAGCAAGAAGAGAATCTTTAGCATGAAATGTTTCTTAATTTTAGCGTTATTAAAGATATCCTCTAGCTTATGCCATATGAGATTTTTTTGTTATTGCGCTTTTTGTGTAGAGTATCCATCAGAAAGTTCCCTTTAGAATTTATTAGTGTGTGTATCTTGTAAAATGCTTTCAGTGAAGAACAATAATTTGGAATGATTCTGTGGTATAATACCAGGTGGAAAATTTGCACAAGCATGTTCATGAAGTTGGACTTTCTAAGAAAATTGAGTTGGTCATCACTTCCCCTTTATTAAGGTGAACTAGATTCCTTCATACTGTTCATCATTGTTTATGCATTCTTGCATTTTAGGTTATGACTTCCATAATTTGAATCGCAGGACTATGCAAACAGCAGTAGGAGTCTTTGGTGGTGAAGGGTATGTAGATGGGATAGATGCACCTCCATTGATGGTGGAAAAAGCAGGGAGCAGTGATCGTTCTGCAATCTCAAGTCTAAATTGCCCACCATTTATGGCAGTTGAGCTTTGCCGAGAACATTTGGTATGTAATGTACATAACGAAGGCTAGTCAGACAGAATTTAACTTCCCTCTCAAACATGTTCGTATTCTGTTCACCTGAAAAAAAAGAAAAGAAAGAAAAAGGGAAACAGATAGAGAGATGAAAAAACCAACTTTTTATTTGGTAGAAGTTCTTTTAGTGTAAAGTAATTTACCATTAAAAGACGAATTTCATGAATATGTGCCATTATGCATTTGACAATAAATTAGGTTTTGGGCTAGCAGTTATAATATTAATGTATCAATGACTTGGCGCTCTGTCAATCTAAGTTGTTGTATTAGCTTTTTTACTATATTCTGAATTCGTGAACGCTCCCAAATCTATATTGGTATGCCTAATAACATATTGTGTCATCAAGGAAGACTAGACTAGATTTCTAATTCATTCTAAATTTTTGTCAAGGTTTCAGTATAACATAGAATTGGATTAAATGTTTCAGGGCATGGATTAGGTCCTGTGGTTTAGAAATCAAACAAGGCTGACACCTAGATCCACTTTCCACTTGATGTGATCATTGTGTGGTTTTTAAGATATTGCAAAACACTTCAGCTGCAGAGTGAAATGTGGAGCACCGTTGGTTTCCAGTGCTCTGGTGATTTCAAATCTAAATTTACCAGGGTCTGTTTTTAAAACCTTATAGGAATGAGAAATATTTTAAGAACGAATTGTGATATTAGGGTTCCAATTTTTGTTGACTGAAAAGGGTTCTTTTTTTTTTTTTTTAAAATTGTTTCTAAATTTGTGTGTTCCACTTTTCATGTTTATTTCTTTCACTTCAGGGAGTTCATCCATGTGATAAGAGAAGAAGCATCAGCGAGTATCAAACTCTTTTTCCTGCTATTGATTTTTCACTGGCAAGTAATTTATTGTGATTGGTTTTTGTTTTGTGGATTAGCTGTTATTAATGCGATACTTTTGAACTGTTGATCATGGGTTTGGAATCCAATTTCACTTATTATAGTTCTTACCTTTTTTTTTTTTTTTTTCTATTTTTATTTAGATAGAAAACGATGATGACATTTTGTGGACGGCTGACACTAGAGAGACGAACGAACATGTTGCAAAGAGGGGAATGGAGTTTATAAACTGGTGACTTCCCATATACCTCTATTCAAAAGTTTTTTTTTTTTTTCATCTACATAAGTACATGATAAAGATAAAAAGTTTATATAATGACTATGGAATAGTGTGATTGCAGTCGCTAGGATGCCATCTATTTAGCGAGGTCTATCATAGGGTTTACACTTTTCATGCTATTGTCTATGGTTTTACAGAGACGGAAGGCTTTGAGATGTTTTCCGCAGTAGTGGTTATGTTGTTGTCCCATGTAAATGATGATTTCCATTGAGTTTTAAATTCCATACATGGCACTTTGATGTGTGCACTTATCTTCATATTGATTCGAACTGTGACAATTGATCATGTAATAATCACTTGTGCTATAAATTTCATTAGAAAAAAGGAATTTTGATGACTTCATTCTACTATTGGAACAGTAAATGATCCCCTTTAAATTGATCCAGACTTGAAATGTTTCTATGATTTTCCCCTAGTGTGTGTTTCACCTTTGAATAAGATGCACATGGACATGTAATTCTATGGCAGAAGAAGCGTCAATTTAATCCTGACTATTTCTTTTGTTTTCCCGTTAATCAATTGATCCAGGCTGTGGACTCGAAAAGAGAAGGAGATCGCAGTTGTTACTCACAGTGGATTCTTATATCATACCCTAAGTGCATTTGGAAATGATTGTCATCCATCTATAAAGGATGGAATACGTAAACAGTAAGTGTTGCCTTGTATTTTTCAATGTCAATTATTGGTGTATAGCTTTAAGGTGTTTACCAGATCCTCGTTTAGAAATTAAATTAAAGATATTTAGAGATGGTAGAGATTTGTGTTCACTGTTCAATTTTAGCTACTTTTTGCTTTCTGACATCCTTCTCTGCTTCAAATTCTACTCCTTTATGCCATGTTGCATATTCTTTCAAGTGTTGGATCATTTCTTAAGACTAGAAGCTGAAAATAGTTTTCTTTGTTTTAATTCTTTACCTGTTCTGGATTCAATTCTGTCTAGTTCCTCATTTATAGTTATTTAATTCTGTGTAAACCTTCAGTCCTGGATACAAAAATTTGGTAATTTTGAATTACCCAAAAGTTCCAATTTCTATCAATCTATATTGTACTCATCTGAGATACAGTTTTTCCCTTAAATTGTTAACAGTGGGCAGTAAATAACTATACGTTGGATCATGGATAACATGCTAATATGCTTTTCAATTTGTTGCTGCAGCTTTGCTAATTGTGAGCTTCGCTCAATGGTTATTGTTGACATAGTTACAAAGATACGGTGGTTGTTGAAAAACTGAAAGAAAGCTCCATTCACCGTGTTGGATAAATATCTGGTTTTGGATTAATAGTCAAGTAAAAAAGATTCAACTTAATTGTGGTGCCCTTGCTTAAAGATTCTGTCCTCATTAACTAACCCTCAATTATGCTTGTTGTTTCATTTTATTTCGCTTTCATGGAGAGTGAAAGGTGGAAACTGGGAAGAAAGGAAGGACGTGATAAATGTTGATATGGTTGTTGCGTCCATTTTATATGCTTGGTGGTAATTGATTCAAATATATGGAAAATTAAGCTTTTGAACTTCAAGCATTAAACATTCTCATATACAATGTATCGCTGTTCATCTCCCTGAGTTACAAGGAAGTTCCAGGACAGATTGATCATTATTAATTAATACACAAACAATGCTATCTGTGTGACTTCATCATTGAATACCCTGTATAAACCGCTCTGACACTCATAAAACAACACGGCGCGCCACAGATTTATAATATGCAGATACAACCTTTTACATTACTTCCGGTTATGTATTTGATGATCTTATACACATATGCTCCACTAAATTTAGATACTGGTACAGTATCAAAGAAGACAAATCAATTGAATTTTTTTTTTTTTTCCAACAATTAAAAAAGATCCAAAATCGGACTGCTCAAGTGCTCATCGCATGACAAGAAACCACAGCCACAACAGGCAACAATGGCTGAAGGCACTCAACGCTCTTTTGTACTTTTTCTATCTTTACGATTGGGCTAGGTTAGGCCATGGTCTAGAGTTGGGTTTGCTTTATAGTTTGATACTCTTTTATTGAGTGGGTGTTTAAGTCTTAGTAGTAACATACGGAAAAAAAAAAGGTATGAGAATTTAGAGTATATACATAAATAGTAAAAATATGTTTGTAAAATTGTTATAAAATTGATCACGAGAAAAAAATATAGGGATATATAATTTAATACGGTACATTGTCAATAATACATTTGAAAAATAGGCAATATTAATTCTGATTTTAACATTTTATGATCGTTGAATTAATTCTTTTGTTTTTCCTTATAGATGTATGATTTATATTTTTTTTAATTATAATATTTCAGTTTATAAAAATTGTATTATTTGATTTTAATTAATTACTACAAATATGTAAAGTGGCAATTACTAAAAAACAAAACAATTTATTTGTCATAAGTTGAAGAAGAGAAGAGACAACAAGAGTGGTACTTGTTGATGAATAGTGAAGAAGAAGAGAGAGGAGGGAGCCAAAAAGAGAAAGAGAGAGCAAGAGGGCGCCAAAAAGAGAAGAGCCTAAAATAACATCGTTTTGACCAACTTCACCAAGGATATGTTTTGGCTATTAATAAAAAATTTATTTTTAAAAATACGAAAATTATATAAGAATTTATGCAAATTTATGATTGAGATATAATTTCGTATAATTTGGCTGTGCTTATAAAATACGAGAATTGCATTTTATATGCGAATTATATGTCACGTATAATCGCATATAAAATACGAATTAATACTAGGTCTAAGCACACACTTTTATATAGGCTTGGCTTGGTGATTGGTGATAATATTATTGGGTTATTTAGCAATACTTCTCTTATGGCCCAGCCTAACGCATTCCAGGCTGAGGAAGTGGCATCCTTCATCCTACTAAAGCCTTGGGCCTTGAATGACACGTGAATGTTTGTGACGAAAACTTGTTAATATTCAAGTTAAAATTTTAAAGGAAATTGTAGCTTAATTTTTAATTCAAAGTATATACATTATTATTTTTTAATTTAGAATTATACAATAATAATAATTGTATATGTGGGATCCAACACATGGTAGTGGGTTTCTAGAGATATTTCATGCTTGGACTAATGTCAATGTTGATATATATGGATCCAGACACATGAAACTTTGAGCCTAAAATCGCACGATTTGTCTTAAATACGACTCTAAGAAAGAGGTGTCTTTAGCAAAGTGACTAAAGCCTTTGTTAATTGTGACTTTGACATTAATATAATAATAATAATATATAATAATAATTTGACCCTCCAATATGATTCAACAATAAATCATGAACATAAATTTTTTCAAAATAAACCTAACCATGAGTTGCTTTAAAATTCAATGAACCTGCCGCTTAAATATTATGTTATATATTTCTGATATATCAGTTTATTATGACTTATTGTCTATGATAATGATATTTAAATTTAAAATAATGCTAACAGTCACTATGTCCGTGTACGCCCAATTTTTACCATTCCCAACGGGCTTGTATTTAGTTTCAAGAAGTCTGCAACTTTTAATGGCATTGGACCAGTCACGATAAGCTTAAAATTTGAGTTTTAAAGACAACGCACGGGAAATGCCAACTGGGGCCTTTCAGTGTTTAAAAGTTTGAAGTAAATATAAAGCAAGGAGCCAAAATTAAAGACGCAAGTGAAGATGCCAAGTGCGTAATGGGTGAGAAGGCTCGTCAAGTACACAAGGACGGAAAATAAATTAGTGCTTAAACTGTGGCATATGCCCAGGATATCATGAAGCCAACAAACACGGAACTCTTCTCGATTTCAAGGGACCGAATCTTAGAATCTTCCTCTCACGTTCATCATCAGGGTATAAGCCATGACAATTTACCATAATTTCCTAATTATTTTAATTCCTCTTCAGCCCTTCAAAACTTTAACCTTTTTCTCCCTCTTCACTGCAACAAAAACAGAGCTTCTCTTGTTTTAAAATTACACCTTTCTCTCTTGTTCGTAACCGGGTTCCTGTTCTTTGTTTCTATCTCTTCAGGTACAATCTTTCTTATCCAAGAACGTTTTATTTTATTTATTGGATATTTGAATTGCTTGCTTGCTTAATATACATAATACATTTAACAACCGACTCCCATCTTGTTTATTTCTGGATTTTGATGCGCTTGTGAGAGAATCATAAAAGTAAAGGTTCTTGGGCCAGATTTTGAAGTGTTGGTTGTTATATTTGCATTGATCTGAGTTCCGTGGCTTAGATGGGATCTAGTTCTTCATACGCTTGATGCTATTACTTATTTATGTTAGTTTGTAATCTTGAATTTCAATTCATTCGAGTGCAGACGATATGGATCCCGCCACGGCACGAGTTTGTACCCATCTCACCGATGCAAAACTATTCACTGGTTCGTGCCAAGATTTTTTTTTTTTCTTTAAGTATTGTAGAAATTTTCAATTTGAGAAGACTTGTGGTATGTAAATTTTTGTGTAGGTGAGGCATGCTCAGGGTATCACAATGTAGCCGGGGAAAAGAGCCATGATGCTTACATGTCTTATGATTATTTTGATGATACCTTACCCCACTCGGCTGGCAGCAGGTATCACCACTTAATTTTGTTTCATTATCAATTTAGCTATTCTGATCTTGTCAAATGTTTTTCATCTAATAAAAACTAAAAGGGTTCAAGATGATGTTCTGTTAGGACCTTGAAAATTCTGCGTTTGTTTTGTTTCAGCAAGAAGAGAATCTTTAGCATGAAATGTTTCTTAATTTTAGCGTTATTAAAGATCTCTAGCTTATGCCATGAGATTTTTTTGTTATTGCGCCTTTGTGTAGAGTATCCATCAGAAAGTTGCCTTTAGAATTTATTAGTGTGTGTATATTGTAAAATGCTTTCGTGAAGAACAATAATGGAATGATTCTGTGTATAATAACCAGGTGGAAAATTTGCACAAGCATGTTATGAAGTGGACTTTCTAAGAAAATTGAGTTGGTCATCACCTCCCCTTTATTAAGGTGAACTAGATTCCTCATACTGTTCATCATTGTTTATGCATTCTTTTTAGGTTATGACTTCATATTTGAATCGCAGGACTATGCAAACAGCAGTAGGAGTCTGGTGGTGGAAGGGTATGTAGATGGGATGATGCACTCCATTGATGGTGGAAAAAGCAGGGAGCAGTGATCGTTCTGCAATCTCAAGTCTAAATTGCCCACCATTTATGGCAGTTGAGGTTTGCCGAGAACATTTGGTATGTAATGTACATAACGAAGGTAGTCAGACGAATTAACTTCCCTCTCAAACATGTTCGTATTCTGTTCACTGAAAAAAAAAGAAGAAAGAAAAAGGAACGCTAGAGACTATTAAACAACTTTTTATAGAGGAAAATGGCTCTTTTGGTAATAGTTACGCATGTAAAAGATTAAAGGGAAACATGCGAAGGAGTCCAGGGGAAAAAGGAAAGACATAGAGAAAAGGGGAGAACGAGAAAGGAAATTAAAGAAGTGAAAGGGACTAAAAAAATGCCGGAAGCAACGAGACATGCTAGAGAGGATGAAAAACCAACTTTTTATTTGGTGAAGTTCTTGTTAGGTAAAGTAATCAATACAAGAGAATGTTCATGAATGTGCCATTATGCATTTGGAAAATAAAACCTAGCGGATGAGACGGCCCTTTCTTATCAACCTCATATTTTTCATTATTCTTTTATTCTAACTAGTTTAGTTTTATAGTATATAATTATGAAACAATAAAACTACAAATCAGCCGAGAATAACTGAGTAAGTTAACACGGAAGGTTTTGTTTGGGAACAATCTGTGTTGACTACAGATTTACAATCTGTTTAAGCACAACAATGTTTTACCTAACTTTACATGTGTCTCGCGTGATAATCAACAGCCATAATCTGGCCATAATGCTATCAATAATAATATTACACCGTAGATGTTTTTGTTTGCTCAACTGGGAATATAAAGCACTAACTTTATATTAATTTATGGAACACGTATCTTGGGTCGAACAATGTATTATTATTTCATCAGCTTCTAAATCACAAAGAATGCTTCATGTTAATTCATGCCAAAACAAACCAAATCATTTTCCAATACCAAAGGCACTAGTGGTCCTTAAAGTACTTTATTAGAAACTTAGTTGGTATGTACTATTTAGATAATTATAAGTTTCCAGAACCTAAGATTCTGAGAAGACCAGTCATAAATATAAATGACGACGACGACCTACAACAACCATAGTTGTAAATTCAGATTATAATA